CCTCCAAGTCCGCCCAAGATGGTCCAAGACGGCCTCCAAGACGGCCCAAGAGAGTCCAAGATATCTCCAAGTTCGCCCAAGAAGCCTCCAAGACGGCCCAAGACGACCCAAGAGGCCTCCAAGAGGTCCTCCAGGAGGGCCCGAAGAGGCCAAAATGATTGATTATCCGTTGGGTTTTGAAGGATTTTGGCATTTGCTTCTTCTCGGCCTTCCGACAGCTCAAGATGGCCGAAGAGGCCCCCAAGATCGCTCTAAGATCGCCCACGAGGACTCCAAGATGGCCCCATGACGGCCCAAGAGGCCCCCAAGACGGCCCCAAGAGGGACCCAAAACGGACCAAGAGGCCTCCAAGACGCCCAATATGGCCTCCAAGACGGCCCTGGAGCACCCCAAGTTGGCCCCAAGACGGCCCAGAGAGGCCCCCAAGACAGCTTCCGACGGGCCAGGAGCCCGCCAAGACGGCCCAAGATGGCTATAATATGGCCCAAGACGGAAGACGGCCAAAGAGGCCCCAAAGAGGCCTCCAAAACGACCCAAGAGGCCTCCAAAAGGGCCTCCAAGAAGTCCCAGAGATGCCCAAATCATTGATTCCCCACATGCTTCGTGGGGTTCTGGTTTTCTTCCCTGCCGCGCCGCACCCGCGACACTCACACCTCACACCTCCCTCTCCGTCTCTCTCTCTCTCTCGCACACCTCACTCTTCCCCTCCTCCTCACAGCACTGCTCAGCACAGCTCAGCTCAGCTCAGCACGGCACAGCTGAGCACAGCTCAGCTCAGCTCAGCTCCGCTCACCTCAGCACGGCACAGCACGGCACAACACAGCACAACTCACCGCACAGCAGCACAGCACAGCACAGCACAGCATAGCACACAGGGCATTCCTTCGACGCCACAGGGGGTGCGCTGGGGGTGGGGGCCCTGTGCGTTGTAGGCTCCCAGGGCGTGGCAGGCGTGGCATTTCCTCGACGCCACAGGGGGTGCGCTGGGGGTGGGGGCCCTATGCGTGTAGGCTCCCAGGGCGTGGCCGTGGCATTTCCTCGGCGCCACAGGGGGTGCGCTGGGGGTGGGGGCCCTAAGGCTCCCAGGGCGTGGCAGGCGTGGCATTTCCTCGACGCCACAGGGGGTGCGCTGGGGGTGGGGGCCCTAGGCTGCGTTGTAGGCTCCTAGGGCGTGGCAGGCGTGGCATTTCCTCGACGCCACAGGGGGTGCGCTGGGGTGGGGGGCCCTATGCGCTGCAGTGGCAGCGTGGCAGAACGCCACAGGGGCGCTGGGGGTGGGGGCCCTATGCGTGGTAGGCTCCCAGGGCGTGGCACGTGGCATTTCCTCGACGCCACAGGGGGTGCGCTGGGGGTGGGGGCCCTATGCGTTGTAGGCTCCTAGGGCGTGGCAGGCGTGGCATTTCCTCGACGCCACAGGGGGTGCGCTGGGGTGGGGGCCCTATGCGTTGTAGGCTCCCAGGGCGTGGCAGGCGTGGCATTCCTCGTGCGCTCGACTATGGTTGAGGCCCTATAGGCTCCCAGGGCGTGGCAGGCGGGCGTGGCAGGCGTGGCATTTCCTCGACGCCACAGGGGGTGCGCTGGGGGTGGGGGCCCTATGCGTTGTAGGCTCCCAGGGCGTGGCAGGCGTGGCATTTCCTCGACGCCACAGGGGGTGCGCTGGGGGTGGGGGCCCTATGCGTTGTAGGCTCCCAGGGCGTGGCAGGCGTGGCATTTCCTCGACGCCACAGGGGGTGCGCTGGGGGTGGGGGCCCTATGCGTTGTAGGCTCCCAGGGCGTGGCAAGCGTGGCATTTCCTCGACGCCACAGGGGGTGCGCTGGGGGTGGGGGCCCTATGCGTTGTAGGCTCCTGGGGCGTGGCAGGCGTGGCATTTCCTCGGCGCCACATGGGGTGCGCTGGGAAGTGGGGGCCCTATGCGTTGTAGGCTCCCAGGGCGTGGCAGGCGTGGCATTCCTTCGACGCCACAGGGGGTGCGCTGGGGGTGGGGGCCCTATGCGTTGTAGGCTCCCAAGGCGTGGCAGGCGTGGCATTCCTTCGACGCCACAGGGGGTGCGCTGGGGGTGGGAGCTCGTATCTTGTCAAGAACTGTAAACACCTTGGCTCAAGCCGGCTCGGCGCGCCTGCGCTCTCACGCAGGCGCGCTCCTGTAGTCCTACTTCAGAGCACCGCCCGACCTGCGCGGCAGCCATGCCTCCCAAAATCGCCGAGGACGCGCTGCCACCTCCATGTTTGGCGATGAAGACTGCAATGGTTCAAATGGGCGGCGAGGTTAGCGTGGAGACCTCCCGCGGAAGCACGGGTTGGTCCCTGAGCGCGGCCGCTATCCGTGACGGTCGTCCAGGGCACAACAGGCGTAGCGTTTTCTCGACACCACAGGGGGTGCGCACGGGGTGTCCCTGAGCGAGGCGGCTACCCGTGACGCTCGTCCAAGGCACAGCAGGCGTGGCGTTTTCTCGGCACCACAAGGGGTGCGCACGGGGTGGTCCCTGAGCGCGGCCGCTATCCGTGACTGTCGTCCAGGGCACAGCAGGCGTGGCGTTTTATTGACACCATAAGGGGTGCGCACGGGGTGGTCCCTGAGCGCGCCCGCTACCCGTGACGGTCGTCCAGGCCGCAGCAGGCGTGGCGTTTTCTCGACACCACAAAGGGTGCGCACGGGGTGGTCCCTGAGCGCGGCCGCTATCCGTGACGGTCGTCCTTGCGGTATCGGCGGGGCAACGGCCACCAACATCATTCTCCCATGCTTCACTTCAGCTATCTTTACCCCAGCCATAATATAAGTATGTGGGGTTCCTCGGTAGCGTAATTTTCCCTTGGGTTTTGAAAGATTTTGGCATTTGCTTCTTTTCGGCCTTCCGACGGCCCGAGACGGCCCAAGAGCTCCGAAAGATCGCTCAAGGGGCCTCCAGGACGGCCCAAGGGCCCCCAAGACGGCCCCAAGAGGGCCCCCAGACGACCCAAGAGGCCTTCAAGTCAGCCCAGAGAGACCTCCAAGACGGCTTCCGACGGAATCGGACGTGCCAGGAATGCTTTGAGACGGCCAAAGAAGCCCCCGAGAAGCACCCAAAGGCCCCCAACAGGCCCAAAGAGGCCCCCAAGATGCCTCCAAGATGCTCCCAAGAAGCTCACAGGAGGCCCCAAGAGTGCTCCCAGAGGCTCCCGAGATGCCCCCCTCCTCCTCCTCCTCCTCCTCCTCCTCCTCCTCCTCCTCCTCCTCCTCCTCCTCCTCCTCCTCCTCCTCCTCCTCCTCCTCCTCCTCCTCCTCCCTCTCCTCCTCTCCTCCTCCTTCTGCCCTCCCTCCTCCTCCTCCTCCTCCTCCTCCTCCTCCTCCTCCTCCTTCTCCTCACCCTCCTCCTCCCCGCCATCCTCCCCCAAGTGTTCCTCGAATGGTTTCCACAACGGTTGGGGGAACACATGGTCCGATAGCTTGGCCGAGCTTTTGCCACATCGATCGGACACATGGGCGACTTCAAACCTCTTGCTACCCCACGCGTTCCCCGAAGGCTTTCCGAACCAACTCGGGGAACAACTGGCCCGACAGCCTGGCCAAGCTCTAGCCCAGCAGTCGGCCACATAGGTGCTTCCACAAGGGCAGGGGGCGGCGGTGATTCGCCGTAGGCGTCTTTGATAACTTCCACCATCCTCGCAAGCTCTGACTCCTTCTGGGGGTCGGAGGAATGGCGTAAGTCACTTCAAGAACAAAAGATCTGTCCTTTTGGGGGCCATGATGTCTGGGATATGTCCTGTCCCGGTCATGATATTCACACACCCGCCCAGTACCCGCCCAGTCCGCAAACCCCTCCCCGCCAAGTGTTTTGCGGGTCAGAACTCGGGCCTTAAGCGGCTGTTCGGGACGATCGGGGCACCCCTGTCGACGAGGCGCAGCTGCTGGAAACCATCCTGGGGCACAAAGACCACAGCAAAGAAACGACGAGCAACTTCCTCCCCCGCTCCCCGTCCCCTAGGACGACGAAGACGTCCTCACCCCCTGTTGTTCGGGGATGGACAGACCTCCCTTTAGTAAAACGTGGTTTAGTGAAAACGACTTCGGGCCCACACCTGGCGGGCGCAAGCCAGGAAAATAACGGCCGCGGCGCCCTCTCGAGAACCGAAAACGGACAATTCACCAATCGACGTGTCAGGGTAGGAGGTCTGTCCACCTCCGAGTTGTACACCCTCGATGCAGGAATGGGGGGGGGGGGGGGGGGCAAGCTGAGGAGCCGTCGGCTGGGCAGAGCAGCCACGGCCCCACGGCCAAGCCCGAAGGGCGACACCGCGGTGGGGCAGCCTGCCAGTGGCCACCCGCACCACCTCCCCCGCCGGGAGCGCCGGCGGGGGAGGTGGTGCCGACGGCCGGCCCTCGGCGCCGGAGGCGGCTATGTGTCGAGGAACGGGCACCTCGGTGGGGCCGAAACCAGCTACATGCAGCAATTTTCGTAACCCCCCCTTTCCCACCCCCCCCTTTCGCCCGACCCGAAGTTCGCGCATCTAGATGCTTGAGACTAGCGCTTCTGGCGATTTCCTTTCGATTGCTGTGCCGAACCGCTCTGTAGCTCCTCTGCAGCTCGAGTTATCTCAGGAAGGTCATCATCATCTCTTAAAACAAGTAGCAGAGTACGAATCGTTGGTCGGACCCGGCTCTGGTAGCAGACCGAGTTCGGGCATCTAGATACTCGAGACTAGCGCGTGCCTGCGCACGGCTAGCCACCGCTCCGGGCCAGGCCCCGCCTGGGCTCGGGGCCAGGGCGCTCGCCCTCCTGGCCTGGCCAGGGCTGCACCGTGCGCCGCTCCTGGGCCCAGGCTGCGCCTGGCCCCGGGCGGTGGCTGTGCACAGGTCTCGACGCCCATCGCCGAAGCACCCAGGCCTCCCTCGCGTCGTGAACGAAACCATCAGGTGCACAAATTCTGCCACTGGCCATCGCTCGGACGTCCATTCCCTGGTTTTTGTTCGGTATCGTGCGTGGCTTTTCCCCCGAATGATCCAGGATGCTCCTCGATGGTCCTCGCCGAAAGAAAAATGCACACGTCCGAGCGATGCCAAGGCCATATCCGGCCTCTGCCGGGGCCTCGGGGTCGGCGGGAGGCTGCTCGGGCTGCACCGCGGGCGTCGGGGAAGGGGCCCCGGGCCTCCCATGCCTTGTTCGTTGCGCTCGTGTTCAGTCCCGATCACCTCCCAGGGGCCTTCGCCGTGCTTACCAGCCTGGCACATATCCCTATCCCTATGTTGGGCATCGCCTCATCACGATGGCGATCTTAGGGATTTCCTCCGTTTCGGAGTGTGTATCCCTAAGATTGTCATCTCCTTTTCGCGTGTCAATCTTAGGGATGGGGATAGGTTCGAGGCTGGTGACGTGCGGATTCCGGGACGCGACCGCGCGGATAAGTAACGCGGTCGCATGGGCACGTCCCGAGCGGGACCTCCGCAGCCAAAGCGCCCCGTATCCACGGGGTCGCGGCCCAGGGGCCCAGCTCGCGAGGTCGTGGATGCGGAGGTTCTGTCCGCCCGCAGCTGCGCTTCGCCCCAGATCACTTCTGAAAGGGCCCCAGGGCACACAAGTAAATACACACAAATAAAAAGGTTCCCCCTATTTTCCAATATTTTCTGGGTTTCTGTCTTCCCCCCCACTTCCCATATTTTCCCATATTTTCTGGGGAATCGACGATTAATTGTGTCTGTGTGTTTTTTCCCCTCCTGACCAGAGCCCGAGACGCGGCACCCGTGGGCGCCGGGAGCGCCGCGCCGATGTTTTGCACGAAGCGCTTGAAGTGCGCGGGCCCAGATCACGAGCACGAGACACGACGCGCCGGAGCCCCTGGACACGTGAAAACGACGCGAAGATCGGGACAAAATCGGATCGGGATAACTCGAAATCTCAGAGAATCAGGGGTTTGGAGGATGTATTGGGCGCCGCGGCCGCTCCAGAGCGTTCCGGAACGCTCTGAGAGCGCTCCGGAACGCTCTGGAGCGATTTATCCCGATCCTCGCCCTGTTTTACACGTCGGTTCCCCTTCGGGCCAGGGGTTGATAATCCGCCGGCCCCGCGGGGGGCGGGGGCGTGCGCACGTAGTGGAGCGCGCGCGCTTGCGGGCGGGGCGAGGCGAGGGTCTCCCGTTCTCCTTCTCCTCTTCCTCCTCCTCCTCCTCCTCCTCCTCCTCCTCCTCCTCCTCTTCCTCCTCCCTTTCCTCCGCTTCCGCCCTTTCCTCCTCCTCCTCCTCCTCCTGCTCTTCCTCCTGCCCCTCCTCCTCCTCCTCCTCCTCCTCCTCCTCCTCCTCCTCCTCCTCCTCTTCCTCCTCCTCCTCCTCCTTTGTTTCCCCCCCCTCCTCCATCCGTTTTACTCATATCACCTCCTCAAGTTAATTCCCCACCCGACAACTTGATTTAAAAAGCAAAGGTTCCCGACCCGCCTCGCATCCTGCATGTCGCGGCCACCAGGCCCAACCTGCGCGGGTTACCAACGCATCCCGCCTCGTGTCTTTGACGCAGGATGATTGCACACCGCGGCTGCCAAACCCACAGTGCGCCGGCGTTCTGCGGGTGTTCTGTCTTGCGTTCTTGGGTGCGTCGCGCGAAGGGAAGGCTAGCTGTTTTGTGTTCCTTGTCTCTCTGGGCGCCCGGCCTGTGCCAGTCTCCAGGACCTCTGGGGGCCTCTGTGGACGTCTGGGGACATCCAGGGGCCCTCGCGCCCCTTTGGGGCAGAAGCGGGGGCGACTGATCGGACATCGGGAGCCCTGCGTTGTGCCGCCTGGTTAATCGAATCGGGAACGGCTGCCCTGCTTGAAATTGGCTGCGCCGTGAACTACCAGAAATGCCAGAAGAAACCCGAAGGCCCGCCGAACACGCGGACCCCTTCCCCTTGTCAAAACCTGAATGGCCCCTACTAGCAAGTTTCGACTGTAACGGTAAGTGGCCAGGCGTGCGGGGTCCAGCTGGGGAGCGCATGACAATATGATATGATCTGTCATTCGCGGAGGCGGCGCTAACGTGCTACGGGCCGCGCTGGACGATGGGCGCGCACTGGCAGTCGGAAAAAAGGGCGACCGCAAATGAGGAACTTGGGCCGGGGGCCTCAGGCGGAGAAAACTTGCGCCGAGAGCAGCGCGTAGGCAACCTCAGGCACCAGGGGCTGGTGAAGTCACAAGTTGCGCGGGGCGATGCGAGTTGCCGCGGGCGGGGGAAATCCAAGGGCCCATGGGGAAACGCGACCGTCATCGCATGGGCGGCGGACGGAATTCCATTGTGGATGCCGGGTGTCAGGTCGTCTTCGGGGAGGGCGTGGCGCACCTGGGCGTGGCGGACCAGGGGTAGCCAGGGATTGCCTGTGCGGAGACCCGCCGCGACTTCTCAGGTCATGCAATGAGGCCCGAGAACCGAAACCCCTCCTCAGACTCCCGAGCCGGCTCAGAGAGCTCCAAAACACCAACCAGATCCGATCCGTCCGCCGCGGGGGACAATGATTGATCAGCGCGCGCGGCATGATCGCGCGGTGCCTCACGTGCGAATCGTTGACGGCGCGCGACGCCAACGCATTGAGCAAGGTCGTGGCGCGCGCTTGAGCAAGGTCGTTGCGCGCGCGCTGTCGGTGATAATACCTCGCAGTGCTCTTGTGGGTGAACTCCAACAACCGCGTGCTGTGATGGCCCTGGCTGGTAATGCGACTCGAGCAAAATCCGGAGCGAACGGAATTGGAAGCGAAGGATTAGGGCCTCAGTAATGAGCGCGGGGAACAAATATGTCGAAACACTTCGACATATCCAATGCTTTACTAACTGAATGCGCACCTAACCGTACTGCTACTTCAGCTTGCACGGCATGCTCGAAAGCTGCCTGCGACGACGAACAACCGCGACAATTACCCCGTGACGCGCATGCTACCATAGCGGGTGACCCAGCTCCTGGATGCCAGCCCCCTAATCCTCGACCGCAACTTTTCCGGGCTATCAGCCAGCGTAATAAGCCGCCTCCGTCAGGTCTGGCCAGTCTGACCATCTCGCGCTCGATCCTACCGTTCGGCCTCGCTGGCAGCCTCTAGCAACCAATGAATAGTTCAACTTACGTGGCAAGCCCTGCGTCGCGCACGTAGATGCAAATCCTCGGGTGGATCCTCGCGGGGCCTGTCGCCGCGCGCCGCGAGAAAGGCTCGATGGTGTAGCGCTCCGCGCCGACTGAATCCCGGCAGAAACGGCCATTTGCTATGTTCACGTGGAAGCTGCACGCGATGTGAATCATGACGTAGCCATAGTGCTCGCCACTACCGCATCTCATCATCTACCATCTGGTAGGGCTGTGCAAGGTGCGCGCGCATGGCTGGCCTGCGCAACCTGCGGCGGAGTTAGCTTCCACGGATTGCCAGCCCCGTTCAAAGAAAAAACGGCGCTCATCCGTTGCTGCCATTGACCCTTGATTTCGCGATCGAACGCAGCGTGGTGCTCATCCGCTTTCTCAGCGATGCTGCAAACGACCCCATCATAGCCGCCGCGGTCTAGGTAGACAATCCCCACCGCGAGGAAAGCGCGCGCCTCCTGTTTAACAGGTCTAAGACCTCGCGCTGCTTATACTTGCGGGGGCGATCTTAGAAGCCCAACAGACCTTCGATCGGCGCTGCAGTCCAAGTCGCAGGCCCAGCCTGCTGGAAGCGCCGAACATCGGGTGCCCCTTTGTTTGAAGCCAAGCCACGTCGACGAACGAACTTCAGCCCATCCCCATCCGCCGTTGGACGCACTCTCGGTCCTGCACACGGCGACGCATAGTCACGCAGCTAAGATCTCGAAGCGTTGCCCATGATGCCACAATGCTCGGAGACCATCTTCGCCCAGAAGGCCCTGACCTTTATCGTGTGCTTGACCCATGTGGCCGCCACTGCCTAACGCTGGCCAACATGACATAACTGTGGCCTCGTTGCGGGCGCGCGCCGACTGGCCTCCGCGCGCTTCGTGCGCGCGAGGCTTGCTCTGCCAAGGTGCGGGGGCGCTTGACCCCCCGCGATGCCACAACGGCGTGTTGAACAATTTCGCCTCCAGCATTGTCGCCGCGAGGATCCGGGCGTGAGTTGACTCTAATTTTGGCTTGCCTTGCGCGCGGCCAACTTGGCACATTCCCAATCCAGGGGGCAGCGCGAACAGCCGACGTGAGGCGATCGAGGATATGGCTTAGGCTCGCAAGGCGCTCTCGTCCATATCCCCGAATCTCCGCTCATGACTGGCACGCTCGCAGGCGCGTGGACAAGTAGATGTGCCGACTCATCCACTGCCAGCGGCTGCAACTACGACGCCAACATCACAGACGTCACAAAGCAATCGTGCACATTGTCATCTGCACTATGTTTCTGTCATGCGAGTGATTGTTGTCGGGGCTAGAAACGCGCGGCGCATTGCCCCAGTCGTGCCTGGCCACCAAAGCTGGCGCGCTGCATGTTCAGTCGCATCCGACTTTCCGTCGAATGGTCGTGTCATTGAGCTCTGCCCAGGTAGCGAGTGAGGGTGCAGAGCAACTCCTGACACTCCTCATCCCAATCAACGCTAGCCTGCAAATGCACAGGAACCGCTGCCACACCGCCCTTGCATCCACAAGCCACCTTGGCTGCGGCGCAACGCCAGGATGAGCGACATCCGATTCAAGTCCTGGTGGGCTCACGATGGCGAGCATGTCTGGCGCAACTATAGCCGCGCCTGCAGATGAATGGTCCTTCGCAGCGCGGGGCGATCCCGATCTTTGACCGCATTCGCCAATGAAGGTGTTCCAGCAACGTCGGTGCGTATGTCTTGAACCAGAGCATTGGCCGATCGTGCTCCGTCTAACTATTGAAGAACCGGGCCAGAGCCGTCACCATTCATCGTGCTGACCAAGCCCTTCACCTTCAGGCCACTTTTACCCTTAAAGTTAAGAAATTAAGCCCGATCGCTGACCCAGACTTGTTTTTCTTAGCCGCATCGGGCGCCAGAAGGGAGGAGGGGGCCGCGGCCCGCGAACTCGCCATCGTCGCGGCGCGCAGACTACTAGCTGCTGGGAAAACAGGGGGGGCCCTATCCCCGTGAGGTAGCAAACGTGGCGACCTCTGCTGGCCCTCCAGGGAATTCTCCCGACTGGGTCCCGCGCGCTGGGGCTGGGCCTGCACCCCGCGCCATGCGCGGGTCTCGTCAGTCGAGGGGCGCCCTCCTCCTCAGGGTCAGTTAGCGCACCGGTCGGCAATTCAACCGATGCTCTCGAACCGCAAGCCGATGTTATGGTCGCTGGGGCAACAAGGCCTGCGCCGCTCTTTCGGCCATGGCCATCGCCTGCTCCCCCCGCGCCCCATGTGCGCAGCACCTCGCCAGGCTTGGTCGCATCCAGGCCCGGCGCCGTGATAAGTGCCACCGTCGACTCGCGGACATTCTCTTGTGGAGGAACCGAGGCCTGCCAGCTTCAGGTGCTGGGCGCGCAGCTCCACGAGCTTGGTGCGCTTCTCCGGGATGGGGCTCTCCACGTTTTGAAGATCTGCTTACAATGACTCGATGTTGACCTTCTGCTGCTTGGACAGCTCCTGCTGCTTACTGATCTGCTTCTCAACGCTCTCAGTCTGCCTTGTGATGGCAAACCTCTGCGCCGTGGCTGGCTTCCTGCTGTTGACCTTCGCGTGGAGGTGGGGCCTCTCCCAGGACAAAGTCTTGTGTAGCAGGGGCCATGCTTCGCCTTCGCATCTGGACGCCATGAGCTCTGCAGCTCGAGCCCTCGCGTGTTCTCATCATACTGCTGAGCCCCTGACTCAGCATTCTCACCAGGTTGTCAAGGCGTTCCCACAGCCATCGTGCCACCTTTAGGCCAGGAGAAAGCCTTGACCGGCAGCCTGGGCCGCCCGCAGCTCTGCAACCCTGGCCCAGGGAGTGTCGCCTCTGTCTCCGCCAGCTTTGTTTTGTTGTCTTTGTCTTTCGGGCGAATGCTGGAGCTTGAAGCACTGCGCCCGATCAGGCGTGTTGAAGAAACGCTATCTGGTGCGATCGTGCAGCACACAATACGTGCGGAGCCAAGTCCCTTCAGGCTGATGGCCAACAAGAAAAGCCATCCGCACAGGAGACTTGCCGGTGGTGCTTTCGTGCTGCCGACCTGCACGACGATATGGCTCGCTGTCACCCAGCCGCTTTGACGATTTGTGACAGCACGCCCGTGCCTGAACCAAAACGGCTAGGACGAGGAAGAGGAGGAGTAGGAGTAGGAGGAGTAGGAGGAGTAGGAGGAGGAGGAGGAGGAGGAGGAGGAGGAAGAGGAGGAGGAGGAGGAAGGATAATGAAGAGGAGAACGGAGTAAGGGAACGGAGGATGCATGGGTGGGTGGGTGGAGGGAGGGGGGACTGATGGTACCAATTCATTCGGATGTAGGGCTAGGGGGTCAGCCTCAAGTGCTAGGCATCCGTGAGAGACCCCTGTGTAGACACGGACGCAGAAGCCCGTGAGACCTGTTCGCGGTGCCGCGTCAGCGAGGGACCCCCCCCGCCCATGGTTGAGGGGGGGTGAAGCGCACTTGAGGAAACCTGGGCGGAGTGAACGGCGGCAGCCCTGTGCAGCTCGGGCGCGTGGCAGGCGCGGGCGGCGTGGCGGCGACGCCGTCAGCTGGCACGCCAAGCCATCCTGGCGGCTCTCCGGGCTGCCCCGGGCGGAATGCCGCCCCCCCAGGTCGGCCACACCGCTCATCTGTCCTCCTGCTCCCTCCTCCTCACTCCTCCCTCCTCCTTCCACCCTCCTCCTCTTTCTCCTCCGTTTTCCCTCCTCCTCGGTTAGCTCATGTCTTCACTCATCCTCTTTCTCCTCCTCCTCCTTGTTCTCCTCCTTTCGCCCCCTCCCGTCCTCCCCGTCCCCTCCCGTTCCTCCCAATATTCGCTCCCCTCCCCCTCCCCCCCTCTCTCCCCCTTTCTCCGCTCCCTCCCCCTCTCTCCCCCCCTCTCCCACTCCCTCCCCCTCTCCCCCCACCCGCCCACCGCACCACCACCCAAACCCCTACCCTGTGTGCCTCCTCCTTTTCCTCCTTCCTCCTCCTCCTCCTCCTCCTCCTCCTCCTCTCCTCCTCCTCCCCTTCGCCTCCTCCTCCTCCTCCTCCTCCTCCTCCTCCTCCTCCTCCTCCTCATTTCAATTCTTGATTTACAAAGCCACGCTGGTTCGTAAAATGATGAAACAGAGCCTGCGCGATGGCAACCATGGCCGCCGATCGGCTAAAACGGAACCTTTTTCATAAGAAAACGCACAAACATATCGAAAGCTGAACTACCGTGTCTGAGCATCACAAGTGGAGGCTCCTGCTTATGGGAGGTTTCTGCTTTCGATGTCTGGCCCTCCGCTGGAAAATTGAAAACATCGGGGAGTTGCATTCCGTAGCCATTGGCTCGAGTTGGCGTTTTTTGGCTTCGAATGCGCCTTTGATTCCGAAAGGATCTTAGTGACGCCTGCGTTGTCGGAGCCGCACAAGGATGCGGAAGTGGCAATGAACATGGCGATAGTCTGCGTCGCTGTCAGCGCAGAGCACTGTAGGATCTTACCACGCCCCTCTTTTAAGTCTTAGGAACGCAGCGCAACTTTCACGGACTCTGATCCCTGCGATAACGCCCGGCGCAACAATGAAGATTCTCTGGTCTGAGAACTCACGGCAATGGAGCAACAAAGATGAAAGATGATGGCGCACGTCGGCGATGATGACAAGGCCGACGGTGGTCCCTCATCGGTGTTCCGAGAGCTCCGCGGCCACCCCGCTTCAACAATCCTGATCGGACAAGAACGGGAGGCGCCGCTCTAGTCTCATGGGCGCATTGGGCGAAGAAGGAGAACCAGAAAGCGAAGACTGCCATTTCCGAGACATCCGCCAGCGTGGGTGCCCGGTGCAATCCGTAGCCATGAATCAATTTCTACCAGCGGCAAACGGTCCACGCCGGGGGCGCTTCCCCTCAGCCGCCACCGTGCCTGCACGAAATGTGCGCGTTTTCGAAGACCGAGTGCTGCTCTGCATGGTCTCTGCTATCCGATGGGGGGCCCTCTCCCTCGGCGCGCGGAGTGCTGCAGTCGTCCCCCCCCCCCCTCTTCTCGGCTAGGCGTAAGAGTGACCCTGGGTAAGAGTGACCTTCGGTGCGCAGCGTTTGGGGGCGCGCGGGAGCCAAACCCAAGGGCGCGGGCCGCTCATATCGCACCGCGCTCGGCGATCGGGGGGAGCCCGATGAGCCCGCACCAAAGGTCACTCCGGCGAAAGGTGGGGGAGCCCGATGAGCCCGCACCAAAGGTCACTCCGGCGAAAGGTCACTCTTCCGTGCAGTCGACCTTCTCTCGAGGCCACGGCCCACTGGATCCGCGCCCCCAGGGGCCACGCGCAGGAGCTGCGGCTCCGCGCACTCGAGCTTCCACGGCGGCCCGGGCTGGCCGCCGAGGCCGCCGAGGCCGCCGAGGTGGCCTTCAAGGTGCCCCGAAGACGAGCCAGGGTGGCCCCGAGGCGGCCGCTCGTGGCCTCGAGGCGGCCCGAGATGCCTCCGCGGGGGCCCAAAAGGGACCCCCCGAGAGGATCCCGAGCAGGGGGTGCCGCTGGAGCGCTCTGGGGCCCTGCTGGGCGTTACGGTGCTCCGTGGGGTCCTCCGGGCCGTTCTGGGGCCAGCAGGGGCCGTCACTGGGGGTCTTGAGAGCAATCTGCATGCATGCATGCATGCATGCATACATGCATGCATGTACATCCACTCACACATCTATATATAAATGTGTGTGTATATATGTTATGTATATATATACACATCTATAAACATAATATATGTATAATACATTGATGTTATCTCTCTATATATATATATATATACATGTGTGTGTGTGGACCGGAATCGAATCGAATCGAGCCAGCCAGAATCGGTATCCCAGCGGACCGATCGGACCCGAGTGTGGAGGGGGGCACAACCCCACCCCCCCCCCGCCTGTGGGGGTGGGCCGCGCCGTCCTCCAGGAAAGGGGCCCTGCCACGGCGGCCGGGCCGCCCCGCCCCCCCCGCCTCGGCGTGAGCCCGGTGCACGTCTCGGGCGGGTGCCGCGTGGGCGCCGCCGCGAGGACCGCGCCCATGCCGAGGGGCGCCGCGGCGAGGCCTCGGCGGGCGAGGGGGCGGGGCGGGGGGTGGGGGGTGGGGTCAAGCTAGCCAAGACGAGTTCGTCGGAGACTGATTCGGCTCATGCGCTGGGGTCAGAGCCCTGGCTGGTGCCTGCAACCCCCAGCAGACACAGCGAGGTCGCCACTCTGCGAGACTGTCTGGGGCCCGAAGCTGTCGGGTGCCCGAAACTGTCGGGTGCCCCATCTGCTGGGATTACCGCGGAAGGCGCTAAGGGGATAGGAGGGTTGCACGTGGATGCTACAATGGGGGCTCGGCCAGAAGAAACCTCCGCAAGAAACCCAACCCTGAAATCCGCGATTTGTCCAGTGAAAACCTCAATTTGTCGATCGGAAATCGTCAAGGTCTTATTGGGGGGCACATCGAAATCCAAGAAACCCAGGGCACCCTGGCAAAATCCAACTGGTTTCTTGGCACACGCCCCCACTGTAAGGCAAATTGCGTCTTGCCTAACCTAGCGTATGGGCGGGTAACGCGTGTCAGAAACGGCTCTGACGGGTAAAGATCTGGGCCAAAGGGGCTCCGCTAGCGGAGCTACCATCGAGGCAACTTGCTTGGGGCACGTGCAGCCCCATTTAGGAGTTTGGCTGCGCCAGACGTGACCCAGATGCCCCGATCCTACAGTCGGGGCGCTGACCTAAGGAACCCTAAATAAGGAACGAGGCCCCTCTTTTCCATACGTCAACCTCCGATTTCCGATCGAAAACATAAGGAAAACCTGAGGCAAGCTGCGAAACACTTAAGGAACGCGGAGCCCCTCCCCAACCAAAAGGGTTCCTTCTTCAGGGCACCTACTGTATCAGCAACCACTGCGCGGATCCGAACCACCAGGATTTGTATTTTTGCCTCTGCACCAACCGTTCTCGCCCAGCCTCGGGCCCCGCGAGGCCCTCGCGGATCGATGCGGCTCGAGCAGCGCCGCAGGGAAGGGTGTCGAAGGCTCTGGGAGTGAATTTCCCCGCGCTGCCGCATTTTTTTTTGCCAACGTCGGATCTCAGGGGGCCACCGCATCGGGAGGACTGCCAAGAAGCTGGGAACTCAGAACTCCCACGGTGTTTTTTTTTTTTTCAATCGCGGCGCTCTTCCTTCCTTTTAGCCGCGGGTCCGCTTTCAGGCCCTGGGGCCATCAACCGTGATCCGGAACGCAGGACTGGCTTCGGGGAATGGGTCGGGACCTCTGGGGCCGCTAGCGTGTCGCGACCGACGCGGCCAGGGTGGCGCTGACCGCGCTGGGGACTTCCCAGCGCCTCGCGCAGGCCGCGCTGGCGCGCGGATACTCCTATGCGAGTCGGTGACTCGTGCGGGCGCAGTATCATGGCGACGTCGACACGGCGGCACCTCGGCGGGTGTCTGGGACACACACGGCTGGATTCACAGGAGCGCGGGTGCACATTGCTCGACGCGGTGCTGCTCCGAGGGGCAAAAGGGCGGGCTACCACGAGGGTCTGGCCCAAATCGGCGCGTTCCCTCGAACCTCCTCCTCCTCCTTCTCCTCTTCCTCCTCCTCCTCCTCCTCCTCCTCCTCTTCCTCCTCTTCCTCCTCCTCCTCCTCCTCCTCCTCCTCCTCCTCCTCCTCCTCCCCCTCCTCCTCCTCCTCCTCCTCCTCCTTCTTCCCCTCCTCCTCCTCCTCCTCCTCCTTCTCCTCCTCCTTCTCCTCCTCCTCCTCCTCCTCCTCCTCCTCCTCCTCCTCCTCCTCCTCCTCCGCCGCCCCCCCGCATTCATCTCAATGTGATGGTACAATGGACCGAGCATGTGGCCGACACCCACATGTAAAACATCCGGACACCACTCGCTGCACACACATGCGGCAGCCTGGCCTGCGCGGCCACGACAGGGGCGAGCGCTGAAAAGATCTCCCGACACGTGCGTACCCAGTTCTCGCACAGGCCGGCCGCGCCATGTGCGTGCGGCTTCTGGTAAGTGGGTGGATAGAACAAGCACCGTGGCGCTGCTCTGCTGAATCCTGCAAAGATTGGACTCACATCTTCGCCACGCTGACTTCGTCACTCTGTCGCCCCGAATGCGGCGGCGCGGGCCGAGGGGGGATCGAGGTTCGAGGCTTTCGGCGTCTTTCACCCTTTTGGGGCCTTTGAGAGGCTCCTCGTCGCCACGACTGGATCCATATCGAAATTCTAGCCTTTGCGCACCCGAGTGCAAGTCGGGGGTCGACTTTGGACACCTGGGCGCACGACCTCCGGGGTCATATTTTTTGTCGGTGCTGTTTGCAATCGCGCTGTTTCTCCATAAATTTCGGCCTCGTGGGGGCCCGTTTCGGGACCCGCCGCCATGAAACAAACAAACACATCCAGAATGAAACACGTGCTGTGGGGAAGAGTTAGGTCGGGCATGTCATCCTACAGCCGGATGTTGGACGAACGGTAGAAATACTAAAACAATATTGCCAAATTTTCAAACATAAATCGTCTTCATATTAGTTTTCTACTATTTTTGAATATTTGCTTCCGTAGAGGGACATGCCCGACTTAGTGGAAGAGGTCGGGAGCTCTGGGGCCGCGGGTTGACAAGAACTCCTCGTCAAATTTTGGGTGAGGAAGGGGATGTCGCGTGCGTGAGCCGAGCTCCAGGCCCGTCTGCCTCCCCCTCGTCAGCCTGCCCCCTCCCTCCAGCGTGGCTCGGCGCGTGGCTCTGCACAAGCAGTCCACGGCCTTTGCCGGGCGTGCGCCGTGCGGCGTCGACGGAAGAAGGGGCCGGGTCGAGGATCGAGGCTTTGCGTCGAGGCTTCTGGGCGCCTTCTCCTCCTTGCTTTTGGGCCTCCAGGAGGCCTTGTGTCGCCGTGGGGGGGGGGTCTTCCCTGACGCGCTGGTCAAAGCGCACTCTGTGAGAGATCCTGGGGTCAGTTATGAGTGAGGGGCAGCGATAAGCGGCGACTGGCATAGCGGGGATGCATCGACCTGGGATCGAAGATACATCGCCGATAAATCGACGACAGACCCCCGATAGCAAATCAGCACCTCCCTGGGCGGGCATGGGGCTATCGGGCCCCTATCGGCGATCAGTGGGTGATTAAGGGTAGATGCATCCCCCCGTATGCCTATCCCCCCCCAAATCGTTGCCCCTGAGGCCACTTTTGGAGGGGCGACGCCGGAAAGCAAAGAGAACCTCGACAGAAGGCGCACGAAGAACGCATTTACAACCTGGAGCGGGTCGGGCAGGACTCACAATAGCCCGACGTGAGCACGAAGCAGTTCCGACGAGAACTCGGATCGAATGACTGATTCCTTCGATGCGTGGTGTGTAGGCCCGAAGGCCTCTCCCGACGGTCGCGCTGCTCTGGTCGCGCCGCCCTGTGCGCCGCGCCAGACTGGGGCGGGCCCGGGTCGACATGGCGCGGCAGCGCAACGTGTATTTTAACATTGGATAGAACACTAACGAATGTTATCTGAGGAGCGGTAACCATGCGTTAGGAAACGCAGCGCTCGCGTGGGTAGGCCGGCGTTTCGCGATGACGCCCCGCGTAGAGCCGCCCGCGCCTAGCGCATTGGTCTTGCAAGGCCCTGTTCCCCTCCTTTCCTCCACCTTTCGGGCCAGTATCGGTGCCTCCCCAGGCCTCTGGTTTTGAACGTTATTTATATATACATACGCATATCGATGCGTATGTACATATGATATATGTGTATACGCGTCTGTTTATACGGCTACCTATGTTATACATGTGTTTATGGTGCATGCACAGATGCTGTATACTAGATTCGTATATACATCTAAGCATACACACATCGCACATCCTGAAGCAAACAACCATACACCCCAACATACCCTCGCTTAAGCGTGAAACCTGCGTGCTGGACGTCAGTGGAGGTGGTGAGGAAGAAGTGGGGGGGAAAGTGGCCAGGAGGGGCGAGGAGGGATGGAGGAGAGAGTGGGGGAGGAGAAAGAGGAATGCGGGAGACAGGAACACGGCTGGAGGGATGAGGAGGGAGGTGGGAGCAGCCCGCAACCCAGGCGTCCACGAATCCCTAAGTGACCAGACCCACATCATATCAACATTTCGAAAAGGTGTACTCTCAAATCTGGTGCAATCTTTTAATATTTCTTTGGGCAAATATTGAAAAGTTTGACCTGCCGAAGGGCCAGGGAATCCGCAGCAACGGCGACCAGGAATCCCGAAACACCCCGACACTCAGAATGTCAAAATTTCGAATGACTCTGAACGTTTTAAAATTTGAAAATATTTGGAACTCAATTATTGGGAACACAACTTAATAAAGATAAATTCCTCGGTGCCGGAGAATCCGTAGCCCAGGCGACCGGGAATCCCAAACCCCGCAATAATAATGTTTCTTGATTGTCTTGTATCAAAAACGCTGCGACTTGTGTGTGTGTGTGTGTGAGTGTCTCTCACTCTCTCTCTCAATATGTGTATCTATGTATATGTGTGCGCATGTACTTGAGACTCCCAGGGGGCGGGGACTCCGCAGCCCAGGTGTCCAGGGAACCTGCAAACCCCACATTGAGAGGACAAGGAAAAAGGAGGTGATGGAAGGAGGAAGAAGAGGGGTAGGGGGAGGAGGAGGAGGAGGAGGAGGAGGAAGAGGAGGAGGAGGAGGAGAAGGAGGAGGAGGAAGAGGAAGATGGGGGAGGAGGAGGAGGATGGGGGAGGAGGAGGAAGAGGAGGAGGAGGAGGAGGCGGAGGAGGAGGAGGAGGCGGATGAAAAGGAGGAGGAGAAGGAGGAGGAGGAGGAGGAGGAGGGGCATGAGGCTGGACACCAGTAGGCCCTCCTGCTCCACGCGCCCTCACAGGCCTCTGTCCATATCCCCCCCCCCTAAGATGATATCCCGTCGGGGTCGCACGTGCCCCTTCCGCCCTCCTCCTCCTCCTGCCCCTCCTGCCCCTCCTTCCTGCCCCTCCTGCTCCTCCCCGCCTGCCCTGCCTCCTGCCCCTCCTGCCCCTCCGAGCCCTCCTGCCCCCCCCCCCCCTGCTGCTCCCCGCCTCCCGCCTCCCGCCCGCCCCCCTCCGGAGCCGAGGGGAAAGGAGCCTGAGGTGGTCGGCGGCGCGAGGCTGCGCATGTAGGCGGCGTCTGGCGGCGCGCCACCGTGCCTTTGGGGGGGGGGGGGGACAGGGAGGAGGGGGAGAGTGCTGCTGTGCGGGAGGTGGCAGTGGTCGGTCACCTCCGCGGCTGTCGGCAGGAATGTGCGGAGTTCGTCGGTGATTAGGGGGAAGCTTGAGGGACATGGATGGAGGTGTACGTGCTGCCGTCCGTGGTGGAGGAGCATCTCTTCTCCACCACCTTGTGCCTCTTCGCCGGGAGGCTTGCGGGCGCGAGCCCGCCCACTGACGCAACAGGTGTTGTTCGCCTTATTGCTTGCCTAAGAAAAGAGAAGGAAGAGGAGAGATGAACCCCTAGCCGAGGGTGCGTGGGCATCTCGAATGGACCAGAATTTAGAGGCCCAGCCCAAGGACAGATGTACGATGGGGGGCCTCCGTTCTCGATATGGGGCGCGTCCGGATAGGCCCCCCTGGGGTGCATCCCGCGGTTTCCCCCTGTTCTGAGCGGCCAAACTTTTCGGGCGCAACTCGGGGATTGGAAGAGAAAAGCCGCCTGTCATGATCGGAGGTCGGAGATGCCCGGCCCCAGAGCTGGCCCCCCCATGCGGGCGTCGGCTGGCATCGCCACTGAAGCTGAGGCTCTGGCGACTGTTTTGGGTGCCGCTTCTCGTATCAAATTCTACTGTGCTCAGTGGGACCAATCCAGAAAGTCCCCACAAAACCCCTGGACAACCTGGACAACCCTTCGACGGTTGGTACCATGGCGACAAAGCGACCTGCCCCTGACAGCCCCTTGGACAACCCAACGGGGATCCGCACAACCCCCCTTGGACAAGCCTCCCCGGAGTTTTTCTTCCATCGAGGCTTACGCTTACACTGTTGAGCCACCCAGAGCTCCCGCGCGCAGGTGTTCTCTCAATCTCATCGCTCGAACTTGGAGGCGGCCGGGGGGTCCGAACTGATGGGGGCCCCAGAGGATCGAGCATCGGTCAGGGGGGGGGGATGCCGCCAGATCCACTCTAAATCTGTCCCCGGACCACCCCCAAAGTCCATCTGGTGCTATTTTTTCCTCCCGGATCCCGAGAATCGGTCAGGAGGGGGGATGTCGCCAAATCCACTTGAAATCTGTCTCCGGACCACCCCCGGGGTCCGTCTGGTGCTATTTTTTCATCCTGGCTCCGTGTTCGACGCTCCTGGGGCTCGAAGCCGCCTCCTGGAGGCCGGGGCCGAAAAAAAACCTGCCCGAGCCCAGAACCTCGAGAGCCTGCCCGCCCTTCCCGCTGGCGGGAGCCGGTCCTGGGCCACCCACCTCCAGACCCCCAGGCGGCTCCAGACTCGAACGATGCATGGTGCGGGCAAGACCGTCTGGAGGCCATCTTGGGCGTGTTGGAGCGGTAGTTCGGCGGCTCGGGGCCCTCTTGGAAGCCTCTTGGGGCCCTTTTCGCGTGTCTTGGGGCTGTCTTGGGGCCGTCTTGGGGCCGTCTTGGGGGGGGTCGTGGGCCGTCTTTGGCCTCCCTGGATCGCTTCGGGCGCCGTCGTAGACGCAGTGGAGACCTCAAGCGCGTGGTTGAAAATGTGAGATTTCTCAGAAAGTAGAAGTGCCCAAGTTTGGTCTCCCGACGTCTTCTGTGGGAGCGTCTGGTGAGATTCCGCTCCAGGCCCTACACGCCCAGAAAGCCCCGACTCGCCCCCGCGTAGCTGGAAAATCACCCCAAACGCCCGTAATAACCTCCAGATGGCCGACCACGCTCCCAAGGCGTTCCATGCAGGCTTCCCAACTGCCCAGATAAGATGGTCTCCCAGACGCTCCAAGAGGGTTCCACGCCGCCAGCCAAAGGGGCGATGCTGCGATGCTGCCTGCCGCAGAACTCCTCTCTTCTTGTTTATAACAGAACGTGCCAGGGATGCAATGGCCAGCGCCGCTGCACATGAGCTGCAGCCCGCTGGAAATTGCTGCGTGAAAGATGCTGCTGTCCTGGACGGCAAAGCCACACACCTACTCGAACAGTAAGAATCCCACACGGCACATGAGTGATCAGTCCTGGAGTGCTGTCCTGAACGGTTGTTTGGTTTCCTGTTGGTTCTTGGTTGTTCCTGTTGGATTCAACCTTTCTGGCCTGCTGACGGCTCCACAGCAGCCCCAGAAGGGCGAAAGCTCGCCCCAAGACGGTTTCAGAGGCCCCCTCCAGGGCGCCACACTGCCCAAGAGGCCCCAAAGACGCCACAGGAGACTTGCAGGACAGCCCCAGAAACGCACATCACCGCCAGACGCTCATCAAGCCCTCCAGGTGGCCCCACCACTGACGACGACGACGACGACGACGACGACGACGACGACGACGACGACGACGACGACGACGACGACGACGACGACGACGAAAGAAGCATAGTGAGGCGGGTGAGCAGGACATGGGATGCAACTGGCACTCGGTGATGGGACGGCTTTGATGATCGGCAGGAGTGTCTCAGGACGTCTGGAAGGGAGCTTTGGGGGGCCTCTTGGCGGCCTCCTGGGGCTTCCTGGGGGCCTCTTGGGGACTTCTTGGGGCCTCTTGGGGGCCTATTGGGAGCCGCTTGGGAGCTCTTGGGGGCCTCAAGGGGCGGACAGCTCGAAATGTCGGTTCGTGTTCCCCCTCTGGGGTCTCTTTTGAAGCGTTCTTGGGGCCCTCTTGGGCTGCCTTGGAGGCCTCGGGGGCCGTCTGGGGGGCCTCTTGGGCAGTCTCGGTGCCCTCTTGAGGGCCCCTGAGGCCGTGTCGGGGTGATATTCGTGGCCTCCGGGACCGTCTTGGAGCGTCGGGAAGAAGGCACAAACGCGAACCTCCATCAAAGACCCATGGAACATCCACTGCACTTGCCCCTCGGGGCTCTTGTGGGAGGGCTCTTGGAGGGCCCTTGGGCCGCGTTTGAAGCGTTTTTGGCCGTCCGGCGGCGGCCCTCGGCGGTTCTCGCCCTTGGTGGCCTTCCTGGATGTTCCTCGCCGCCACGGCTGGATGCGCCTCGTCGAACGACTCGGGGGGGAACCCGGGAAGGGCCTCGCCCCAACTCAGCGCAGGGCACGGAAGCGGACAAAAGCGTTTCTTCATGGCGTCGCTCGCTCTTGGGAGCCTTGTCTCTGCGCCGACCTTGCAGACGTGCTGCAGTGGGTTTTTGCGTGGATTTCGGTCAATGCAAAACCCCGAAGAGGCGAGTAAAAAATAAAGTGAATTTCGCGTGGGTTTGTTTTAGTGAGGAGGGGGCAGGAGGAGGAGGAGGAGGAGGAGGAGGAGGAGGAGGAGGAAGAGGAGGAGGAGGAGGAGGAGGGGAGGAGGAGGAGGAGAGGAGGAGGGAGGAGGAGGAGGAGGAGGGCAGGAGGAGGGGGAAGGAGGGGGCAGGAGGGGGAGGAGGAGGGGGCAGGAGGGGAAGGAGGAGGAGGAGGAGGAGGAGGAGGGAGGAGGAGGAGGAGGAGGAGGAGGAGGAGGAGGAGGAGGAGGAGGAGGAGGGGGCAGGAGGAGGAGGAGGGGGGAGGAGAGAGGAGGAGGAGGAGGAGGAGGAGGAGGAGGAGGAGGAGGAGGAGGGGAGGAGGAGGAGGAGGGGGCAGGAGGAGGGAAGGAGGGGGCAGGAGGAGGAGGAGGAGGAGGGGGCAGGAGCAGGAGGAGGAGGAGGGAGGAGGAGGAGGAGGAGGAGGAGGAGGAGATCGCGGCAACGAACCCTCCTCCTCCTCTCCTCCTCCTCCTCCTCCTCCTCCTCCCCTCCCCTCCTGCCCCCTCCTCCTCCGCCCCCTCTTCCCCTCCTCCTGCCCCCTCCTCCCTCCTCCTCCTCCTCCTCCTCCTCCTCATCCTCCTCCTCCTCCTCCTTCCCCTCCTGCCCCCCTCCCCTCCTGCCCCCCCCCCCTCCTCCTGCCCCCATCCTCCGCCCCCTCCTCCTCCTCCTCCTCCTCCTCCTCCTCCTCCTCCTCCTCCTCCATTCCAGCGATGCCCGCCGCGTGCCCCCGCGACCGCCGCGAGGTGCAGCCGGCTGGGTCGCGCCAGACGTCGCAACTGCCCTGCGCGCCGTGCGTCTCTGTCCACGCGCCCACGTCGCGCGCGCTCGCGGGCCGGCCGGCGCGCCGAGCTGTCTCGCGGTGGCGCAGGGGGTCAGCGGCAAAGAGGACCTGGCAGTTCCGCGTGGCCGCCGACGCCGCTCCCAGATACGGGCCCGATGAGTCGCTGCGTTGTCGACTGGGTCCGGCCGCGGGCGCTGGCACAGGCGGCGGCGGAGGGGCCGCCGAGCGCGGCCCGGCGCCCGCCGCAGCCAGAAAGACGAACTGCAACCGCAAAGAGGAGGGCACATCGGTCGAAAAACCGTCGTCGCCGCCAGCAGCGCCAGCGCCGGGCAGACGATGGCGGAGGGGCATGGAAGGAATGCGTAGCGCGGGGCCGCTGGAGGAGCGTTCCCCGCAGGGCGAAACGCTGGTCGGTCGCGCAAGTTTGGTGGCAGTCAGAGACGAGCAGGGTGGGGGGGCCAGCGGGGGCGCAGACGCAATCGACCCCATCGCCGCCGAGGTGCGAGGAAGACGCATAAAGATACTCACACCGAAAAATCGAATCCAACGTTTGCCCGCCTGCGCTGCGGGGGGGCGCGACGCGGAACGCCCGTCCCGCCGTCGGGCGGAAGGGGCGCGAAGGCGATGTCCACGACCCGGCAGCAGGTCCCCGCGCTGGCGCGGCATTGAGTCCCCAAGGCGGCCAGCGCCGCAGTGGAGGGGGCCCGCTGCGGGCGGGGGGGGGGGGCGGACCCCGGCCCCCCCCGAGCAATCTTTCTCTCGCCGGGCCACGGGGCGCGGCCGCGTCGTTCGACCTCGCGAGGGGCAGGCGGTCGGTGCCGAAACCTGGAGGGCGCCGCGCCCGAGGAGCGCGCGCGGAGGACCTGCCGCGCGTCCTCCGAGGACTGGCTGCCTAACAAGACCACCCCAACCCAACCCGAAGACCCGAATTTGACCCGAATTTCGGGTTGGGGGGGTACGGGTGGCATGTGTTTTTTTCAACGTTCCTCGACCCCCCCCCCACTGGAAATGGAGGGCAAAGTGAGGTCTT